GCGGGAGCCTCTTCTTCCTCCAGAAAAGCCAGGATAAACGACGTAAACAGAAACATTCGGAGGTGCGCTCAGATATCTGGTCGATGATCCTCAGTACGAATGTTAGCGCCAACTTGGGTTTGTCCACCGAAGCCCTTCAATGAAGACGCGTACACTTCAATGAGGGCCGGGGCAGGCTGCATACCATCAGCGGAGCTGGCCAGGATAAACACACACACACAGAGACCACACACACACACACTTTCTTCCCGTGGGCGCGTGTGGCTCGAAGAGGAGCCCCAGGGGAGCCCGCTCTTCCGCATGGACGCTCAAGGAAGTGCTGGCGGTCCGTCGGTCACAGATCTACCCCCGAGCGGCTCGGTGGTGCAAGGAAAACAGATCAGAGTTTCGGGCCTACGCCTACCGCCAGCCTCGAACCGATCTGCATCCCATTCATCGCCTTGGAGAACACATCACACGTACGGCAAGCCGGCCTTCCAGCAACGGTGTCGCACGATTCATCCCGTTCACGTCATTAGTTTCATATGCCACCTCGCCTTCAACGGGCACATGCGCGTACGGCTCACACTACGTCCAGTTCTTCCTCTCCATCCGTGATCTCCCCAGGTACCGTACGTTGGCCAATCCCCACCACACAATATGCGTGGGCATTGCAGGAGGTACAACAGGTTCAGCATTTTATCCAGACACCGTCGCAGGAAGGGGCCGCCGCAGTTCGAATGTGGATATGGTCAATGGTACCACAGGGTGGCCTTCCTGCTCTACAGTTGTTCCTACATCGGTTGTTGGTAAGCACGTTTCCGAGCGGCAAGAAGCATGGCATCACGGCGTCCAGCGTGATGGTCAGTATTACTCATATCTTCATGGCGATGGGCGTAATTCGATTACACCAGGCTCTGCAAAAGTCGGAGTTTCCCAGATGGGCGGCCAGAGTATTCCATATCTTACCACCCTATGCGAAGTTAGCCATCAGCAATCTTGATGCGGGTTGGTTGTCGTGGTGTCAGAGTTGTGTGGACGCAAGTTTGACGCCGACAGAGTCGTCGGCATATGTCTTGTGGAGTGCAGCTGGAATGTACGTCGGAAAAGTTAATCTCACGCAGTCGGTTACTACCCCAGGGCTGGCCTCGCGACTTCGGGAACACATTACGGCCATCATGTCTCCAGATACGCCAGAAGGTAGAAGGCCGAGATATCATCTCCTGCGGAAGTCTTTGGGGACACTGTGTATGCTACCAGTGACGATCTTTCCGTCGGAGGCGCAGGCCTTTGCAAGGGAGTCCCTTGTGGTCAAATTCGCCAATCCTGAATGCAACAATCGTGGTCGTGGATATCAACGCCATGGAGCCCGACAAGGACCACTACTGGTGCCACGGCGGGAAGCAGTTCGTCGTCGTCCGCCACCGCGGCTTCGAGAACCCAAGCAGGCGCAGTCGAGTGCGAAGGAGAAGTCCCTGTATGAACGTGCGCATCGGGAACAATGGTTACAACATCCTGGACAACTACGAGGCGCGTATTCTGGGGTTTACGATGGCATGATGGGGCTCAGGTTGGGGGATGATCGTTGTTACGGCCCGATCCGCACCCTAGAGGAAAGTTTAGACAATCAGTTTGTGGCTTATTGTGCAGCATATCGTCCATGTGTTAGTTTCCCACGGTCGGGGAGTGCAGGTACAGGTGCTGGCTTCGTCTACCGTGCAAGGGACTTAGTCAATTTTGTCCGTCCAAGTGGGGCTCGTCGTATGGCGGCCGTCATAGTAATGGAATAATACCTCATCAGTCTGCATCGTTTGGCGCCGTTCAATGTCCCACCGCTCGCCACGCTGTGGCGGCAATGCAATACTCAGTGGTCGGAGTGGTCCCGCGGTGTTCGGCTTCCCTTTCGGGTCATCTCGAAAAGTGTGAACCGCCTGTGGCTGTACCGATGGCGAGAGGATCTGGTGCGGGCTCGGACAAATACCATTGCATGGGTCGGTGCCTCGCCCACGCCTTTCGGCGTCATCAGAGGGATCGTGGGTTATCGTGACAGTGACCGATACGACCACCGTGGACAGCGAGACCGCGACGGTGATGGTGACCGTCGGAGGGGCCGCACGACCCGTTCGAGTTCCTCGTCGGGGTCGAGGGACAACCAGGGGGTGCGCCGCGTGGGTCGCCACAAGGGGGGGATGTACGCGCACGACCCGTCGTGCGCGGCGCTCTTGGACCAGCGGGAGCAGGAGCTGCGTGAGATCGAGGTTCGCCGACAGCGGGAGATCATGGCCAGGGCAACGCAGGGGTCGATCGGTGGCGCGCTCCAGGAGAACAGCAGCCAGCTCCACACGTCCCAGGGTGGGGGCGGTGGAGGTCTGCCGCCGTCGCCAGGGACGTCCACACCTGCGGACCCAGGACCAGCCCCCAGCCCAGGCGTGTTGCCAGGGGAGACCGGTACGGTTGACGCGGGGGACCTCACGAACATCAAGCGCATGCTCGTGGAGGCGCAGTTCGGGTACGTCGTTGGGCTGGAGGACGGGAAGGAGTCTACGTTCAAGGCGGCGTTCTCCAGCTCGTGGGGCGATCGCAATATATCCCAGATTGCAAGCACGCTATTCCAGAAGCAAAAGATCACGGAGCCCAAGCGTAAGGACGAAAAGATATCGGAGTTGTGGAAGTATTATCAGAAGCTCGCCTGAGAGATTGCCGAGCCTCTCTTAGACGCGTACGGTGCTGAGGTCTATGCTCCAAAGGTGGAGTGCTCTTTTGTGCAGAATCAGTTCAGGTTGTACATGATTATCTTATGCTTGGGATCGTTTTTCGTGTACTTCGTCGGCTGTGGGTCGCATATGTTCGTGCTCCAGTCCGCGTTGTTCTTCGAATATCGCTTACTGAATGGCCAGGCCGCCCCTTTCCTGTGACCGTCTTTCTCACAGGAGATCGCAGGTAGTCCTGCGGCAGGTATATCTACTCTTGGGATCTATGAGAAGGGGTGGGGACAGCTGTCTGGACCGATCGAGGCCGCTAACCAAGTCGGGGGCCTTTTTGGGTGTTCTCCCCTCTCCTCTCCGCTCGCTCCTCCTCTCTCCTTCCCTCCCTTTCCTCCCCCGCTCCCCCAAAAAATCCCCACGTGAGGATTGCCTCATGTGTGCCTGGGACGTTTCTTGTGCCCTGGTGGGTTCAGTGTGTGAGGCACTGTCCTGCGCTTGGCACCGACCTGTAGAGGTCTGTAGTTGGGCTTGGGTGCACCCTCCTTCCCCCTCTTGAGGACCCGAACCTTCCTCCTCCACCAGGTGTGTACCCAGAAGTCCGTCGAACAGGATTTGCCGAGGAAGATTTCGATCACAAGTTTGAGTCTGACCCTATTGCGCTGTATCCTATCCCAGCGCGGAGGGACACACTTTCTTCCCGTGGGCGCGTGTGGCTCGAGGAGGAGCCCCAGGGGAGCCCGCTCTTCCGCATGGACGCTCAAGGAAGTGCTGGCGGTCCGTCGGTCACAGATCGACCCCCGAGCGGCTCAGTGGTGCAAGGAAAACAAATCGGAGTTTCGGGCCTACGCCTACCGCCAGCCTCGAACCGATCTGCATCCCATTCATTGCCTTGGAGAACACACACACAAACACACACACACACACACACGCACACACGCACACACACACACACTTACTTTGCGTCGGCGGCTGGGCAGATTCACTGCGCTGGCGGAGGGACACACACACCACACATATATATATATATATATATATATAGATAGATATATGGCGTGGCGGCCCTGCGCGCAGCCGCAGGGCGTATCAGGTCGAGACCACACACACATAAACTCGCACAGACATACACTTTTTGGCGTCGCAGCCCTGCGCGCGGAGACAGGGCGGAAAACGCCGTGAAGCAACGGACGCGCGCGCGACTGAGAGCGCCCGAGCCGTCCGAGACCACTCAGGGCCCCGCAGCGGCCAACAGCCAGAAGCCATCCGAGCGTGCACACACACACACACACACACGCAACCACGCACACACGCATACACACACACACACACACACACGCATACACACACACACGCACACACGCACACACACACACACGCACACACGCACACACACACACACACGCACGCACACACGCACACACGCACACGGACAAACGCACACACGCATACACACACACGCATATACACACACACACACACGCACACACGCACACACACACACACGCACACACACACACACACACACACACACACACACACGCACACACGCACGCACGCACGCACGCACGCACGCACACACACACACACACACACACACACACACACACACACACACGCGCACACACGCACACACGCACACGGACAAACGCACCCATACGCAAGCGCACACACACAAAGACACACTGGGCCAACACACGGCTGAGGATAATCGAGCTCGGAACGGCGGTGGACAGCCTTTCTCACAGCCCAGGCGGCGCCTCTGCGCGCCAGGCAAGGGGCGCGGGGAGGGTAGTCAAGCGCCAAGCATCGAAATCCGCTCGGACCGTCGAAAGCCTATGATTCTGTAGCTGACGGGTGTGGGGTCCTCCTGGTCCTGATCCCCCTCCCCCCAAGGGCGCCTTGGTGTGTCGCAACTGCGCGGTCTGCTTATCTCGGAAGAATGCCCAGGCTGGGCCGACCTCGCCGAGAAGAGTTCCCGACATTGGCATCACGCTGTCCCCGACAATACACTCAGTGGGCCGAGGGAAGCCGCTCGACGCTCTAAATGCAAGATGAGACCTTAGAGGATCTTTCAGTTCGAGGAGGCTCCAACAATGGCACACCAATTGCTCTCGAGCCACAAGTACCTCCGCCGAGACAGCAGGCAAGTCACGCTTCATTACGAGCGCCAGAGGTGTGAGCCTCAGACAAGGGTCTATCTGCAGGAAGGCCCAAGGGGGTCCTGGTAGGGCCCAAGCTGCGAGCTCGTTCCGCCTCCCTCCTCCCAAGAGGGTCCCTTGATTCGACTTCGCAAGGGGCAACGGTGGAAAGCCAGAAGCTTCAGATCGCATGCGCTGCGATTTTCTGCAGCCGGTAAGTGACCAGCATGTCCACAATACCAAGAAATACATAGCAATGGGCGACGCCCTCAACCAACATCCCCTGCGCCTTACGGGGAACCGGACGTCCAGTACTCTCCGCCCCGCCCCCTCCATCCTCCCCCTCCATCCTTCCCTACCTATCTTCTTTCGAAGAGGGGGGGATGGGCTGCCCTTTCTGCATCTTGGGAGCGACGACCTTAATTGCTTGCACGCCACCCATCAAACATGAATACGACTGAAAAATGTTTCTGCCCTCGTCGGCGTGGGTACCCGCATCCTCTGCTCGGACAATTCCCAACATGAGCGAGTAGTCCATGATGTTCCTCTTTTCCAGGAATCGAGTGTCCGAGTTGATAGATGCGGCGAAGGTCTTCGCCACCCCGTCCTTTGGCGAAAGAGGCCGAGGCGAAGGAGGACGAGGGCGACCAGCAGAACGAGGACCATGAGAACGCACGTGGGTGCAGTGGCATGGAGACAGCCAAAAGTGGGAGACTCCAGAAGCCACGAGCCACCAAAGCGTGCGCCTCTTTGCAACAAAACGAACCAAACCCAAAAAAACATAAACATTCAGAACTCCGCGCTGATTTTATGGATCGGCTATGGACCCCTTCCCTGGCGTGCGCAATGCGCCATGGGCGGCGCCGGGGGCACCGCCAAGGGGTCCAACGCCGATGAGAAAATTCCGCGCGCACATCCGGAAATCTATGCTTCCTCATTTGTTCCTTCTCGATTCTCGACTCTTGGAAAGCAAAGTTTCTCGTTAAGTCGGGCGTGTCCCCCTGCAGGGGGATTTTGGGCGAAAGATGAAAAAGATTCCCAACAATACCCCCAAGATGCTCCAACATAGTCCCAAAGTCGTCTCCAGACTATTTTTTTACTATTTTTGAATATTCCCCCTGTAGAGGGATTCGCCTGGCTTACTGTTATCAGCATCCTGCCTTGTCTTTTTCTCCATCCTCTCCTTTTTTCACCATCCTCTTCTTCCTCCGCCCGCCTCCGCCCGCCTCTTTTGTTTGCTTCTCCATCCTCTTCATTTTTCTCCATCCTCTTCTTTTTTCTCCATCCTCTTCTTCCTCCATCCTCTTCATGCTGCCTCGTCTTTTTCTTCATCTTCCCAACGTCGTCCCAGGACTATTTTTTGCCTATTTTCGAACATTCCCCCTGTAGAGGGATTCGCCTGACTTCTCATCCTCGTAGAGGGGATTCCCCCTGTAAAGGAATATTCCCCCTGCAGAGGGATGCTGCCTCGTCCTTTCCTTCATCCTCTTCTTCCTCCGCCCGCCTCCGCCGCACTCCGCCGGCGGACCGCCGCGGCTCCCGGCATGACCAGCCGGCCTCCCGCCGCGCCTCTGGAAGCCGAGCGGGAGGGCTCGCGGCCCACCATTGGAGGCCTGGGTTTTGCCTCCACAGGGAGATGACGATCTCAGATTTCGGTGTTGGTGGTAACATTTCGGTCACCTTGGAAGCCAGAATATTACCACCGTCACCGAGGTCGGGATCGTCTTCCCTCGGTGGAGGAACACCGCCGATCTTGGTGTTGGTGTCAATCTCTAGGACTCCGACACCAGGCTGCTCAGCAGCTCCCGTCTCGGCAAGGAGCGGTCTTCGAAGGCAGCGGCTTGTGATGCTCGTGTGGTTCATAATGCGGCATAACGATTCATAAACAAAATGGGGGGGGGGAACGATTAAACAAATAGTTTCCTGCTCTTTCTGCACAAGTTTCTGACTGGAAGAGAACGATTACAAAAATAGTTTTCCAGCCCGCGGCCGGTTTTTTCTAATCGTCATCCCGGGCGCCGCCGCGTGAACACGACCCCCGGTCATTTATTAATCGTCATTCTCCATTACTGTACCGGGGTGTTGTTCAGCACCTCCGAGGCGTGGGACTTGTAGAAATTGCTGGGGTGTCCACTGAGCGAATAAACACTGCGTGTATACATTCATACATTACACAGATACCTACGTACATATGCATACGCATCCTCGTCGTCTTCGATCGTACCCCCTTGGGGGTATATCTTCCTTACCTGCCATGTGTAAGGGAAGAGAGACGGGTGAAAGGGGAGTGAGAACAATGGACCACGAGACGAATTAGCAGGAGGGGGGCAAGGAGCAGAAAACAAGTGGTAGAACCAATCGGGCAGATCGGGTGGGCAGACCCATAGCGGGCAGGTCGGGAAGGCGGGCCCAAGCGACGAGGTCGAGCAGGCGGGTTGCTGAAGCGTGGGCCCTGCATGAATCGCGAGGAAGTCTCGAGCAATAACGCGATTCCCAAGTAAATCATGAGAAAAACCAGACCGGGCCACGAAGGGCATAAAATCCGAGGCCACAGAGGGCAGCGACGGGGCCGCTCAGGGCAGCACCGGGGCCACGAAGGGCAGCGAGGCGGCCACAAAGGGCGAGAGCGGGGCCACGAAGGGCCTGCATAGGGGGCCACGACGGGCGCGAGTGGGGGCCACGAATGGCATTCGTATATGAGGCCACAGGGGGCGACAGCGGGGCCACTGAGGGCAGCCAAGGGGCCACGAAAGGCAGCGAGGGGGCCACGAAGGACGACAGCGGGGCTACGAAGGGCATGCGTATGGTTGCGAGGAAGTCCAAAGCGTGAGCGCGGTTCTCAATTGAACTGTGAGGAAGTATCAACCCAGATCTCCAATTCCCAGATCTCCAACCCAATGAGGTCTTGGAAACACCTCCTCCGAGGACTTTCAACATATCCCACCTCGAAAACACATGCCCGCGCCTTGCTGCGCCGATGCGAGACCGCCAGTGGAACCCCAGCGAAGGGTAAAGCACACGGAAGTATCGAACGACAGGATTGCCTTGGTGGGGATGGGGGCTGTCGGCGGTGAGGCAAGGACCTGGCCCTGACTAGAAAGGGAGGAAGTCTCGAGCAGGGCTGCTGTTGTTGCTGGGAGCAGCGCCAATGCTGAAGAGAGTAGGGCGCTAGTCCAGCGTAAAACAAAACGAAACCTCGAATGGGAACGCTGGTTTTGTTGGGACGGCGGCTTTCGGCGGCGAGGGGGAACACCGCCTTGAGTAAAAAGGGTGGAACCATCGAACGGGAGCCGTGGTTTTGTCGGGACGAGGTTGTCGGCGGCGAGGAACAGCACCGTCTTCAACAAAAAGGGAGGACACCTCCTCGAGCGGGAGCGGTGTTCTTGCTGGGAGCGGCGCCAACTCAAAAGAGAGTAGGGCACCAGTCCAACTTAAAGCGGGAGGGGCGGTTTTCGGCGGCGAGGAGGAACACCGCCTCGAGTAAGAAGGGGGGAAGCATCAAGCGGTAGCAGTGATTTTGTCGGGACGGGGGTTGTCGGCGGCGAGAAATAGCACTGTCTTCAAGAAAAGAAAGGATGCCTCGAGAGGGAGCGTTGTTTTCGCTGGGGGCGGCGCCGATTCAAAAGAGAGTTGGGCGCCAGTCCAACGCAAAACGGAAGGAAGTCTCGGGCGGGAGCGCTGGTTTTGTCGGGGCGGCGGCTTTCGGCGGCGAGGAGGAACACCGCCTTGAGTAAAAAAAGAGGCGGGAGCGTTGTTTTTGCTGGGGGCGGCGCCGATGAGAGAAAGACTCGCGCGCCAGTCCAAGGTCAAACGGGAGGAAGTCTCGAGCGGGAGCGCTGGTTTTGTCGGGGCGGCGGCTTTCGGCGGCGAGCAAGAACACCAGCCCTGAGTAAAAACTGATGAAGTCTCAAGCTGGAGCGTTGTTATTGGTGGGGGGCCGGTTTTGGCGGCCCCCCAAACCGCTCGAGCGTGAGCCTCATGTTCAATGAACATGTAGCCGGCGCCCCGGCGAGAGCGCCAGGGCGCCTGTAAAGGGTCCTACAATAATAATTGTCGAGTAGTTAGATTCAACAGCAACAACAACAACGCAACAAGCATAATCCCCACCACGGATCCCCAATTCAGCCACGCACCCAGGGACAATGAGTGACCGTTCGGCCCCCTCGTTCTGATATACATATATATATATATATATATATATATATATATATATATATGTGTGTGTGTGTGCGTGGGCCGTTGTAATCTGGGGGGGGGGGGCCGTTGAAGCCGAGGGGGATCCTTGTAGTCCGGGGGGGACACTGTGACTTTCGCGGGGCGACGCCCCGCCCGACGACCGCGGACACGCGCTCCTGGCAATGCACAGGGCCAGGCAAAGTGGCCACACTTGCGCGCGTGGCAGTAAGCATTGGGAGGGCCACGAAACACTACCGTCTGCGCGGGGCACCACTTCATTGGGCACATAAGAGGCGCAGCTGGTTGGCGGGGGGGCGCGCGCAGGGCCGTTCCAACCCGCGCGAAGCAAGGGAATTGCGTCGCTCTTCGCGGGGGGCTGGCCCGCTAGACACCCAGGGGCGCAGCGAAGAGGCGTCGGAGAGGAAGCGAAGAGGGGCGGGATGAGGAAAGGGGCAATGAGGACCGACGATGTGTTTTTCAATAGTGCAATAAGAATGAAACAGACCCCTTCTCCGAGACAACGGCCCCGACATCCGTCACTGGCAACCCGCAGCGCTTCCCGCGCTGGGCGGGGGGTGACTGCGCTCCAGGGGGGGGGGCTTGTAGTCCGGGGGCGGGCCCCTGTAGTCCGGGGCGGGGCTTTGCAATCCGGGGGGGCGGTATTTGCAGCCCGGAGGGGGCTTGTAGTCTGGGGAGGCGGCCGTTGTAATCCGGGTGAAAGGCCCTTGAGGCCTGGGGGGCCCTCGTAGTCCGGGGGCCCAACAGTATTGAGGCACTGCGCCCGACCCAGAGCGAGGGCAGGGCGCGCGCTGCATAGCTAAGAGCGCAAGTAGCTGCGAAGAGGGACTCACATGTCAACACTAGCTTAAAATATGGGCGCCGCCGACCCTCTGTTGCGGGCATGAGTGGCGCGGCAAAGATATGCGAGGGGGCGTAAATAATGCCCCCCCCCGCGGCCGCCCGGGCGCGGGGTCTCCGCGCCCAGACGGACGTCAGCGCAGTGGCTAACGCTCAGCGCCCTGGGCAGGCTGCCCGGGGCGCGAAGGCTGATGGCGCGAGGGGGCGCGTTTACCTGTTTCGGCAGGCCCCGTAGCTGTCGGACTCCACTTCGCCCCGAGGCCCATCGGCCCCCGCGGCGCTAACCGCAGACGCGTTTCATGGCGCCCGTGGAAAGGAAAGAGCGGAGTTACTCCCAACATTGTCCATTGGGCTAGCCAAAGACAGACCCCCCCCCCCACCGCATGCCAAATGCACCTCCGCCCCGCGCCAGCCCTCCTGAACGCTCGTCGCGTAGTGACAAGACGCCCTCCCTCATTCACTGGGCAACCGTCGCGCAGCGACGGGGCGCCCTCTCCGCGCCAAGGGCCGCGCCAATTGTCGTCGTAGCCCCAGCGGTCGCTCAGGAAGCGCCAGTTCCATCGGATGCCGGCG